AATTGTACCATATGTATTATTGAATAACATGTTTTTCACTAAGGTGCATTGCTGTTCAACTACTATGCAAGGCATGGTGAGTTGTTAGCAGTGGATAACTTTGCCTTCATCATAACTTATTGTCTTTGTGTCATCCACCATAGCACATAATGTGTTAATTGTGACGAATGACTCAACAATTTAGATTTAAGTAAGAATTCTTGTCACTATACCCATGACGCATAGCGCTTTTGATCATGGTGGATAGATAAAAATTCTGCACTTATTTCTAGTTTTCAAAATAGAACCGAAGTAAGGCTTTTTGTGAAGGTTGGTGCAAAATATTAAAGGTTTTGCTATGGTATTTTAATGGTTATTTCTTGATTTTGGAGCATTAAAGGCATAAAGTAACCTCCCTAGTCCTTCTTCTACCTTCTACATTCTATTTCTAACTAGATTATTTAATGGGTTGGTTAGGCTTTTTGTTTGTGGGGACACCTAGCCATTGGGTTCAAATTATAAGGGTATTTTAAGGTTAAATAAGCATTATTTTTGTTGTTTTAATGATAACAATCATAGGAAGATGATTATATCTAAAACCCTAGACTAAGTGGATGATGTTAGAGATAATTAGAGTATTTAGAAGTAAAAATTATGTTCAAGAGATGTAATGAGGAGGAGTATAACCAAGTTTAATGATTAAAGTATATGAGAATGCATTAAAGTGTTCGAAAACATATTTTGTATGCCCACTTAACAATCACATAATTAATTACATCATATTATCATTGCATATTAATATTGGTTATAGGAACCTTTATATCTCATTTCCCATAGTTAACATTTTTTAGAGAAGAGCTAGGTTAAAGAAGCACCTGAGGCATAGTGTAGTGTGTGTAGTCACCATTATAGCTTGTAAGTCTCTTTATGACTTGTCACGCATATTTTGACAATCATAAGGCATATTTTGTGTGTTGAGCAAGTAATTCAGTATTTCTATGTTAAACTTGAATATGGAAACCATTAGATATGTTTTTGACACTCATGATCTCATTTCGATATGAATATTATGTTTGAAGTATGAAATTATATTATAGCAAATTATGTTGAGTCTTTATTATAATTGTTTGGGTGGTTATAATCTAACTATAAAAATTTTAATTGTATGAGTAAATGCATGAGCTCTATTTGTTGTTTGGAATATATGTAGAGCAGTCAAGTATCTTACACACAGATAGTGGCTTTGGTGTATATTCAGGGGAGAGAAAAATTTAGAAGTTGTATTTTGTTGCCAATAAAGGGTTTTTCCTTTTGCAAATAAAATCCTTATATGAAGGTATTCTTGTGCCAAACTAAAGTCATTAGCTAGCTTATATAATAAGCTTCATATAGACATTTAAATCACTCAATTTGAATTAGTGTGCTAAAAGTTATGCCCCTTTTAAATTTGGATTTATTGTTCATTCTCTCATATTGTTGACAAAAAATTTTCACTGCAATGCATTACTATTCAACTACTATGCACGACATAAAGAGTCGTTAGCTATGGATAATGTTGCCTTTATTGTGGCTTGTTGTCTTTGTGTCATCCACCGTAATGCATGATGTGTTAGTTGTGATGAAAGACTCACATTTTGCAAAAACGCCCTTGTTTTGTAAATTGTTTTCAAAGGATCCTTTTGGACATTTTTATACTCCTTTGGTTCTATTTATAAGTAACTTCTAACATGTTCACAATACCAATGAAAACCTTAAAACTCATTAATTATATCTTAAAATTTAATAAATTTTCAACTTTGTCCTTATTAAATACACACACTTTAATAATATATTTTCTCTTTCCACCGTTCAATGGAGGGTAAAAAAGGAAATTTGTAATGAAAATTTAATGATGTGACTTATAAATAAGATAAAAAAATTTTTCTCTCTCTACGCTATAAATAAGACTAAAGGAAGTATCTTTTTAACTTATTTTTGGACGATAGAGTTCTATGCTTCATCAGTAAATGAGATTTATAACATTATTTTGAATTTTAAATCATTGTTTTCAATAAGATCCCATTTGGTACTCTTTTAATTAATTTAGTCTCTTCCAAAATTAATATAATAGGTTTAATTTGTTATGTTTAATCTTTTCTATTATGATAGATCTTTTTTTATCATGGTAATTGACTTTAAAACTTATTTTATTATAAGAGAAATCATTTCCTACCATGGTAACTTTTATAAAGCTGTTTTTTTAATACAAGTCCACAGGTAAACTATGTAAGGAACAAGTAAGTCAAGTCATATAAAAAAAGAATAGATGTGAATTTTGATAAGTTTGATATTTCAGCAAAACTTGATTCCTTCCAAGATACCCAAGAGTTTGGCTGTTGTGTTTGGATGATATTCGAGATATTTGAAGAGACCTTTAATCCAATTCCCTTTTGTAAAGTTGTTTTAACTCTTAATTATCATAGTAGTCTCTTTTTCACTATAGTATGGTTTTATAATAGGGAAAATACCAATCAAAGATCGCTGGAGAAAATTTATATTAGTCAATGATTACTTGTTGTCAAAACTTGAATAAATAGTTGTCAATTCAAATTAGTTTTTTATCAATAAGTATTCATTTAGGTTTTAACAACTTATTTTAAATTAACATTAGTCAATCCAAGCTTTTTTCCATTCAAATTTTAACAATAATTAATCTTTGATTGATATAAATTTTTTTTAACAGTTCTTTAGTGCTATTTTTCCTTTATAATAAGATAATTTGTTCTCTTTGTAATGGTAAGCTCTTTTGTCAATGTGAGTGCTTGATAAAAATTATCACCACTCTTATTTGTTATGGTAGATATTTTTTTACCATGGTATACATTTTAAATTGATATTTTGAAAATTAATTACCCTATTAATGAAGAAAATCGGTTTAAAAATTTAGTGGCTTATACTTTCTGCGTAATGATGTACTATAGAGATGGAGGTTTTCAAACACTCCTAATAGTTTAAAAAAAATTGCCATGTTATGATTTATTTTAATTTTTTAAAGTACATTTACCCTTTTAGAAAAGAAAATTCATGTTTAATACACATGAATCATGTTTCATGAGTGCCCAAGCTGAATTAGGATTGATTCTATCTGAAACCAAATGGCAAATGGTATAACCAATGCACTCCTTAAATTATGCTTCTCCCATAATTTATATAAGCTATTTTTAACTATTTTACACCCATTAAAAGAGGAAAAATGACAAAAAAAAATCCCAAAATATGCAAATAACAATTAAATATAACAAAATGATAAATTTTATTTAGTTTTTAGGAATTTATCTATCATTTTGATTTTTTATGAAATGACATATTTGCTTTAGTAATTATTATGTGTTGGGAAATAACTATTTTAATTGACCTATTAATTAAAATAGAATAAAAATGATTACTTTCTTTAAATTCTATTCATTAAGCAAGTGTAAATATTGAAAATCAGTGACTATTATTAGTTATACATTGAAAAATAATTGCTTTGATTGATCTATTTATGAAAATAAAATAAAATAAAAAATTATTACTTTCTTTCTACAACGGTTTAGAAAATAATTAATTCTTTTCTAAAAATGACTATTTTAATTGCATTTGATGGATACAAAAATTTGCAAAGAGAAAGTAATCACCTTCCATCTGGTTTTAGTCAATAAGTTAATCAAAATAATTATTTCTCAACATATAATAATCACTGCAAGATAATATATCATTTCATTTAAAAAAATTAAAATGTAAAACAAGTCCCTTCAAATTAAAAAATTATCATAATATTTTATAATATTTAATTGTCATTTATATATTTTAAGAGTATTTTTTTAATCATTTTTCCTTACAAAAATTTAAATGGCTCATATTTGAAAAAAAATCTTTATAAAATGTGACTAATATTAAAGTCTTACACAAAGTCTCATAAATTATAAAATTATTTTAAAGTCTCACATCTAAGTATTTTAATTACTGCTCGATGGTTATTAGTTATTGATATTTAGTTACATAAAATTTTTATTAACAACTATCTAACATTATATGGTAATTTTAATATAACAAATTTATAATCTCGATGAAAGACATCATACTTTAAAATAATTTTTCGATTTCATTTCATGCAATTTTTCTATATTTAAATTCCTTGTTAAGTCATAACTATTTCGATTGTACTCCTTCTATTTTCGAATTTTCAATTATGGGAGAATTTTAACTAATTCATTTAATTTAAAAAAATTAGTTAATATTAATAATTATGTTTAAAATTAAAAAGTTTTGATTAAAATGTCTTTCTAATTAATATTTGTTTTTTATAATTAAATAAAGAGACATAAGATAATTTTTCTTGTATTTGAAAATAAATCAGCTATGTTTGAATGAAATAAATCTAAAGAAATTATGTTAAGTAGAGTAAATTTATTTATAAATAAATTTTACAAAATTTAAAAATTACAACTAAATTTTTTAAGATTTAAGTATAATTTAAAATTAAAATAAAAAGATAATAATGCTTCTACTAAATATATATACATTATATTAATCAAATAATTTATACTTATTTCATCAATATTTTATAATTATAATTTTAACTTTTTATAATTATAATTTTATATATTTAATAGTTAAATTGAGTTAAATTGATCAATTTAACTATTAAATATATAAAATTATAATTTAAAAAATTAAAATTATAGTTATAAATTATTAATAAATTAATTATAAAAATAATTAATATTAAAATTTGTTAATAACACATAATTGTTTGACTATTAAATTTGTAAAGTTATAGTTATAAAAAATTAAAATTAAAATTATAAATTATTAATAAAATAATTATAAATTAATTATTTAATTAATGTAATGTATATTTAACAGAGATATTATTTTTATTGTTTAATTTTAAATTACATTTAAATTTAAAAAAATTAGTTGTGATTTTTAAATTTGACGGGACTTGTTGATAAATGAATTTACTTCACGGACCTCTACGTAATTTGCCCTAAATCTAAAGCTCCTGTGTTGAAGCATCGCCCAAGAGAGACTGCCATCACTCGTAAGTCCTCACAGAAGCTTCAAGCTTTAGAAAAGACCAGGCACTTTCCTCGGGTTCGTTAGTTTCCGCGGAAGTTAGTTTGATCTGGTGCGCATTCGAAAATGTATTCAAATCATGTAGTAAAATTTTTCGCTAGCGTTGTTTTTCTATATCAGTTAACCTAGAGTATTGTTTCACTTGATGTATATTCGGAGGTTTAGGATTTCTCTGGTAGCCTGTTTCTTCTCAACTCTCTCATTATCGTTAGAGCTTTTGTTGAACAGTTATTCTAATGTCAGAGTATCACTGATTTATTGTTTAGATTTAGCAATTACATGGAAGGGATGCTTTTTCATGGCGCTAAAATTTTTGTCGGGGAAATTATATGTGCGCGCCAGCGTGCGCATGTCATGAGAGAGGAAAATGAAGCTTTTCTGTCTGTTTGACATTATCTATCAATTTTTTTTTTTTTTTTGCTTTTCTTTTCCTTCATCTCTGACCGTCCCAAATGTTTTCCTCATCAGATGGGAGAGGGGCGTCTTTGAATTAGCTTTATACTCATTATCAGGAAACTTTGGGTGTGCAGGGAGAAAGGACATATAGTAATAATAGTATAGTGTTAGTGTTTCACTTCATGTGGGACTGCGTGAAGTAGTGTGATTTTCTCTTGCATATCTTTGGTCTTGATTGATGAAGAGTATAATTTCATACTCATATTTTATGATGCTAACTAGAAACTTCTTGATTGAAATCAAACTAATTAAAGTTGATGGCATACCAATCGAAAATGATCTCAAATCTGCTTGTCATTCTTAATCTTTGCAAAGTTTAGCGGTTATAAATTTTGTTATGACCAAACCACTATTCATGTACAAGTAATTCCATTTATTGTATATTACATGGTGTAATTGGCAAAGAAAAAGGAGCTTTGAAAATCTGTCGTATTACTTTTTTTTTTTTTTTAATCCTGAACTCTTATTTCTCCTTTCATTTTGACATTTTTTTAATCTTAGACTTTCTCCCCAACTACTGTCATCTAAGATGTCAGTATATGAAGCTACCTTCTATGAGGATGATGACATTTGCTTGTGAATTTTACTGTTTAAGCACTAAATATCAGGTCCTTGAGTGAATGGCAAACCAGTCAGAGCCTTTGGTAGTTTTCTCTGATTTGTGGTTAATTTTATGCTCCGAACTTGTCAGAAATAGTATTTGGGTGGGAAGGTGGTAGTGCCTTAAAATTTGGGGTTTGTTTTCTGAGTTTTGGTTTATTGATTTCCCAAATCCAGTTATGCCACTCTCGTTTAAATATCTGAAGTGATATGTCCTTGCCTTCTAGGCTAATTCTCATTTCTTTACTCTTTCTAGCATATATTATATAACATGGATCATATTTTGAGGACTAGATGCAAGAATGGCTGATTGCTATGTCGGCCTGTGGAACCAAGCTATTAAAGCAACCCTTCTTGTTTGTAAAATTTATGCATACAATTTTTTTCTTTTGGAAATTGATTTGGTATCATCTGAGTATAATTGCTCATAATAATGTACCACGTACATCTCAAAAATTCCACCTATCATATATTAACTTACAGCATTTGTGACTGCAGTTATCCAACATTTGTGACCGCAGTTATCCCTTGAGATTACAGATATTGAAGAAAGCAAACTATGTATAAGTTTGATGATCTTTCTGTTAACTCTGAACTAGCCCCAACAAAAATACGATGCTAGGGCTGGTATATTTTAAGAAGTTAAGGAATGGATGAAAATTCACATATAACTTCTAAAAGGGAATATCTAAAAACTCTGCTTTATGCTCCAAAGCCATGATTTATTGTGTTAAATCTTTTCCTTTTTGAAATAATCATATACATTCTAAATCTTAAGAAGGTTTTATCATTTCTTTGTCTATATGACATGCGGAGTTGCTAAAAGTGTGGGAAAGTTGGTCTACCTTAGTCTTCAATTCAAATAAGTTTATTGATGTCTCATTTCTCTGTTGCTTCCTCTTTTTTGTTCTCTTGCATCGAGGTCTTACATTTCTGCTGCCATTTCAATCATAAGCTTGCAATTGTGAATGGCATACATCTATTGCTAGCCAATATCTCTGTAGATGAAAGGTTTTTGTCATTTGCACAAGACAGGTATGTTCTTGAAATTAATTTCCTTCTTTCCATTTTGCATAATCCCTTGTATTGTTTATATCTTTAATTGTTGTAAAAGTCTGAAGGTTTAATGATTTTATATCATAGTTTCTTGGTGTGCTTTTAAAATAATCAACAATACTCCTGTATTGGCACCTTAGTATTTTTTTTATCTTATAGTTTATAACTCTTTCTTTGACATATCCCTGAATGTTAGCTTAAGAGACTCTAATGTTTGAATCTCGCCATGATGTGACTATATTGTAGTTTGAGAATCATGTTGTCTAAGATATAATAAGACTACAATCACCACAGCGTAGGAGGTTTGACATGAAATGCAGATACATTTGATCACTTATTCATGTATGTTGGGATTTTTAATGAAATGAGCAGAAAGAAAACATGTTAATGCATCTCTCAGGGCTAATAACAAGCTAGGAAAATTGGCTTTCCTATTCCTCAAGAGTTTATGGATTTGGCCGAAAGCATATGAAGGAGAGAATTTAATTGGGCTATTAATGTGCTATCTCATCTTGGCAAATCAAGAGTATCCCTTTTGAACTAGAAACACTATGTAAATCAAACTTCCATCATGCAAAATTCTAAGCCTTTCTTTGTAGCTAAATTCCCTGTTCTGTTTATAGTAAACATCTATTGTTGACTCTGCAAACCCATTATATTGAACTCCAAAATGAGACTAAACCATAGTGCGATTTTTGAGGTATATAAGTGATTAGTAGATAAAAAGCCACATGTAAATGAGTCGTCTACTGCTAAAATTCAGAAAATTGACATACTAGCGAAAGAAGACCTTGGAAAGCGTTTTTGCCTTATGTAGGTGAAGAATTGATGTTATAATGAGTGATCTGTCATTATAATTTCAATTTATTTAATGTGGAAAAAAATGTCTTCCAATTTGATTGTGAAAATGAGTTGGCAATCATCAAACTTCTGACCTCTTGTTTGAAGCCTTGAAGGGGACTGTTACAATTTTAAGAGTCACTACATCTCAAAAACTGAAGTTGTTTGGAGGAGGTCTAGGGTAGTTTCCTTTTTTTTTTTTTTTGTCCTTTTCTTTTTCTTGGTTGGTATTTTGACTTATCTGTTTGACATCCTTCGCATGATTTAAGAACCGTGCTTTTTTTTTTTTCCTTTAGGTTCCCAAACCCTGTTCCTTTAAATGTCTTAGTGGTGCTTTGTAGTCCCTCTATCTTGTTGCAGGTGAAATTCATGTTGCCAAGCATCATGATCAAAAATTGCTATTGATTGCCGAAGCTAGTGCTCTACACCTCATTCTCCATTGATTAATCATTTAATCTAGCTCCTAAAGTTGGCTTGGTTTTCCCTGTTCTGGATTTACATGGACCCCATACTTCCAAGCACTCTTTCCTCTCTCGTTTAGATTCATCTGGGCACCAGCATCCTCTAGGATTTATTCAAACTCCATATTCTATAAGGTTAGTTGGGCTCCTCTATCGTTCATTGGCTCCTTTAGTGTTTCTTCAATATTCTTAGATTGTGAAGACCACCATCACGATGCATGATTGAACAATCCACATGAGAAGATATATGATGACTTGTTTCTGTTCGGACCAAATTTCATGGGATATGACAATCAGCGAAAAATCTGGAAGAGTCATCATCCATTTACTGGTCATGCTCTGATAAGTGTGACATCTTTGTGCGTGCGTGCGTGTGTGTTTTATGACTCCTCCATCTGCCATTGGGATGAAAGCGTGGCAAAATACAATCGTGTAGTATTTATTAGGATAGCATTGTTATGTTTAGAATTTTTATTGAGGTGAAAGTGAATTTCCTTTTTACACTAGAAATTTATTAAGTTGCATTTCTGATGCTGGAAATCCAGTTACCACTGCTTTAAAGAAGGATGTTTGACCGATTTCAACTAAGTAAAAGATTTAACTATTTAAGTTTAGTTTTAAGATATTTGCTACTAGGTTATGTCTACAAAAGAACCTGATAGCAAACACTAAAGGAGTTTATGAATGTTTTGCTTTGATTGTAAGCTTTGGATTGAGGAGAATGAACGTAAAGGGAAGGGATGAGAACTTCTCAACACTTTCTTTTTTTGTTTAAGATTTATATGATTATTTTGTTCCATCCATTTACTTTATATTTTTTCCAGTATAATCCATCCAAAAGAATAGTCATTTCTGCAAACTTTTCAAAACAAGCCACTGACGACATAAATCAATGTTCCTGTCCTTTGTCGGTCAGTCTCATTCGTAAATTTTGGACCAAATGATTGCAATTTTTGGTTTCTCTTCTTTCTCTGCTGTGGAGTACTTTTGGAGAAGGGTCAGATCAAGGAACAAGCCAAACTTGCAGTCCCATTCAATAAAGAAAAGAAGATTGAATTGTGGTTTTTAGGATAGATGGTATTGTTATTACGTGATTCATATTTTTTGGGATAGGATGCCTGTACTGCATGTCTGCATCACATTGTATTTCCTTTATTTATTTGTTTTATTATTATTTTGACTCGTGATATTATTCTTTTATGAGAAAGCCCGCAATCTTGAAATTTTAAAAAAGCAGATCTCGTGTAACATCTGCTAATAACTTTTCCAAGTGCGTAGATTGGGACCACGAAGGATACTGCTATACTGCATCATGGTAAGATTACCAACCACGTAAAATCATCAAAGCCATAGGGGGAAAAGAAAGAAAATACAATTGTTGTCATTTCTTGAAGTTGTTAAATACATTCTTTGTGCTAAGTCATTGTACAGAGCATTAATAGAAGTTTATTAAAATAGGTATGTCGCCAAACTTTCACTTGTATTACTTATTGTGAAGATTGCTTGTTAGCTCTTTACATACTGCAAGTTGTATGACACGTAGTATGAATATCAAGAAAATATTGTTTCTACTTTCTATACAGTTTTCCGTGAAGTGTATACATTTCACCTCGTGTTATTCTTGTGTTACATTTGTTAAAGAATATTGTATTTCTGACATCTGCTTCAATCTTTAATTTTGAGCTGAGGATGACAGAGGGTTCAATTTTCTACAATATCCAGTGTTTATTTGTAAAATAAAAGACTGATGTATCTTAATTTAAATTAGAAAGTAAAAGCTTGATATGACTGGTAACAACTGCATCAGTATCGTATCAGATAATTTTGTGGTATACCTGTTAACGTAATCCGACACACTTGACTGTAATATGAGTGAGTTATTTAGACGTTTGACATTAAAACTATGCGATATATCTTAAAAGTAACAGTAAGTTAAAGAAAAAAGCGAACAATTGAAAATGAAGGAAGTGGATTGATATATTATTTCCATTCATTCATTTATTGCTAATTTTGAAGGTGCTGTGTTTCTGTACATTTTACGTTTATGCAGATTGTGAGAAGAGAAAATGGCATTAGAGGGAATGGAGAATCAGAAAGACAGTAACAGAAAGTGAAGGTGTTGGAGAATAGATTGATTGCATTGCAGAAAAAAAAATAAAAAATAAAAGGGGTCGGTGAGGCTGCTGCCTTTTATGGTGATTTCATTTTTCAACTTTATGAGAGGTCTACTTTAGGCACAGCAAATGATTCTGTTGGAATGCTTGTGTCTGTGTGTGATATATATATATATATATATATATATTATGGAAAAGCATGATGATGTAGCATTTGGTCCCATTTCACATGCTTGTTTGTGTGGATGTGGATAACAAAGAACAATAATTATTGTGAGGACGTCATCTCATGAATTGTGGATGATGATTACATATGATTTTGCATCAGTATGGATCACTTTGGAAAGATTGGGTGGTTCTAATTTGGCCTAACAACAATTCTGTACATGATAGCAACTTTCTTTTACTTCATCCATTTCCCTCATATCCCTTTACTCCTGCCAAGTAGCTTCCAAGTGGACAAAGTGTGCAATCAATGTGAGGTCTTTATTTTTTTTTTTTTCTCCCTCCCTTTTGGGCAAGAGAGGTGAGGGGTTGTTAAAGTGTATGGTGCCATATCATGTTCATTTTTTCTATAATAAAAGGTGGAGCCTTAATAAAACTTTTGGAGCCTAGGAGATGGTTGCCATTACTATTTATTGAGTTTTTCTTGGTTGTGACGTTTTAAAAAATTATTGTGATCCTATTACAATACTTCCTCGCATCTATTTTTTAATTCCTCCAGGATATCTCCTGCATCCAATGTCAAAGACTAATCCCTCAGGGTATTAGAGTTCTATTTAGATTTGAGAATTCAAGTAGGTCGGATTTATTTGGACTCAACCTGAATAAACTTGAACTTGACCAGGCCTGACTCCTTGAAAACTTAAATGACCAAGCTCGGTTTGAATTCCTTCAAGCTTCGGGTCACATGAATATTTAAATTTTATTTTTAAAATTATTTTTTTGGATACTTTAATGATGTATAAGATCCAAAAATATAGTATTTTAATATAAAATGACCTAAAATTTAAAAAATTAATTAACATTTATTATATTTTATATATTTTTTAAAAATATATTTTTTTATTCCAGTAAATATTAGGGATTTTTTTTTAAGCCAGACTTTAATTTTTTTCGGATGGGTTTAGGCTAGTCTATCAGGTTTGGCCTGAATTACCAACTTTAATTCTATTTAAGAATTTGGTCTCTTCTAATAAATGTCCTTTCATACACATGTTTAGGAATTGAATGTTGGTCATATTCTTAAGAAACCTAGATGGAATCATTCATGTCGCAACTTGTTGGTTTCCTCCCGTTTTTTTTTAAATTACTGTTTATCAATCACCTCACACATTAAAGAATTTAGTTAAAATCGGTTAATATTATTTACATCTTTGAAATATTTTTTTGAAAAATATTGATAATCTAATTAAACAGCTCTATAAAAAGAAAATAAACGGGCACTATCTCATTCTAAAGATAAGCAAATGATTTATCCTCTTTTTATCCGAGGATTTATCTTCCAACGCAGGTTCAAGTTAGAAGTCATCCCTTGATTTAGAAGATAGGATATTGTAACCGCTCCAATTGAATAGGAATTAAATCTTATAAATTGAGGACATATTCCAAATAAAGACGACTATTTCCGCAAGAAAAAAAATTATATTTTCATAAAAAATATATTATTTCAAAGATAAATTTATTTCCTTGAATGGAAGCTAATTTGGACAATAATTAATTAGAAATGATTTATTTAAACGTTGAGCTTCTAAATCATTACCTAACATCAATTGGATCAGAGGCATGCTTGTGACATATCACGTGTGAACTATGGGCTGCTTTGTTTTCTCATGGGCCCCAAATAAAGCCCAATGTACCCTGATGGAATGATTGACTCAGTGTGAGCAAGTCGTTTTATGTGATGAAATCTAACCAAGTGATTTCACTGTAACAGAAAGTATTGGGGAAAAAAATTATTTTCATTTTCATTTTTTATTTGTGTAATAATTCAATTATTTATTTAATTTTAAAATTATGTTAATCTGTTGTGCTTGGAATGATATGCAACCATACTGACAAATGACAATTTTCTTTACGCCTTGACAACTGAGAAAACATTTGCATCACATTTCCATGCTTTATTTTATTGTCCTTTTAAGTTTATGATGTAATCACAATTGAAAATACGTTGACCACTTCATAACTAATGACACTTATTAACTCATTTATGTAACCATTAATTAATTTTGACTCCCCATAGAAATCAAATTCAAATCCTACTTCTAAAGCTAAAAAAAATATAGAAATAAAATTGGAATTTGACAGCCAAATTTGACAAGAAATAAAATACCAATTACTCAAATTGCAGAAAATTGCACCCAGCAATTATAATTACGGTCATTAAAAAAAATTACAGTCAATGGATCTGACATTTTGATAACAAACAAAAACAAGACATGCTTCTTGTGTTTTTTTTGACCAAAATTTATGGTTCTTCTTTATTACTTTGAAAGAGACAAGAATCATTGACACATTTGTTTTCATAAGGAACACGACACTTAACTTTGTAAAAGGTAGAGTTGCCCATTCTCATGCAAATTGCTTTCCCATGTTATTTCATCACCACCTAATTTTGTTATTTATCTTCTTAATTAGTTTAAAAACGACAACTTTACAAGTATCTTAAGAATACTTTAATACCTTCATTTAACATGGCTGTGCATCTCAGAATTCAAGCCAAAAATTTTATAATAAGTTGATTCCACTCTTTCAATTGCGCAAACTAAGCGCTATCTTTGTTGTAACATTAATATCATATGTTGATTGTATCAAAAAAAAAAAATCATGTGCTGATCATTCGAAACATTAATTAAGGTAGTGCATACTTAAATTCTTTTATACTAATAATATGTACTTTCTTGTTCAATCTTTTATACATTTTGTATTGGTATATGAATAAAGTATATGTTTCTAAATAAAATATTAATATCACTAATTATTAATTTGATGACATTGATTTTTTCGTTGCTGATCATATCTTGAAAGAATCTCCGTAATCGCAGTCAACAAATTTGAACCCACTACGCAGCATTTTTATTTGAAGATTTGTATTCAATGTCCCCTCAATTAACTTGTCTTTGCCATCTTGATTTGACTTGTCATAAACCAGTTGATTAACCTATATATATATATATACATATATAAAGCTAATTTTTTATGACCCTTTTTGTTTATATTCAATCTCAGCCTCTTCTTTATCTTTAGCTTTTTTCTCATTCTTCGTTTAATTTTGTATGACAAACTAGCAATTTGACCCTTCAATTTGAGTCAAGTCTCTTAATTTTTTGTTCTTCTCAATCAAATTTTGTGGCCTGAATCAGTTCATTCCTGCAGATAGTTTTTTTTCCTTTTATAAAAAGAGAGATAGGAGCTTTTTTAGAATTTAAAATTGTGAAATTATATTTTGATCACATGCTCATAATTATATTCTGGGAATAATAAACAGCTTTATTCCAAATTCCCACCGAATCAGTGACATTCTCACTCTTTCTGCATTCATGCATGCACGTGCTATAATTAATAAATGCAAGTGTCTTCTTTTCGCCACCTATTATTTATATATTAGCATTTTTTATGTTGTTGATGATGATGATGATGTTATCATGGAAGCTAATAAGTAATAGTCAGTTTTATCTAGAAAAATCCATTATATACTCATCAATCAGGATTAACCCCGGGGGGGAGTGTGTGTGTGTGTGCAGCACTCTCTCTAGCTTTTCCATCCGATTATTTATAAATAGTACGATTTCCTATATATTTCATACGAGTATAAGATTTTATTAAAATAGTAAAAAATATTAAAAATTGTAATTAAGCTTGAATACAATCATTATCAAGTTTTAAGGATATGTTATAAAATCTTAAATAAACTATAATTTTGAAGTAACTTTAGATGTTAAATTTAATAATAATTTTATTAAAATATTATAATAAATTTGTTTTGATGCATCTATCTTGTATATATCTAGTAATACCATTCCATGTCATGTTCAATTAGAGATAATTGTTCTCGCAACATGATTTTTTTTCCATTTATAACATTCAAATTCATGACCTTAAAAGGTATCAATTCGAGATAATTATTCTCTCAACATAATTATATAGTAAATTTTTAAAACACCAATATAAAATATAGAATTTACAGTAAATAACGCTATTGTTAAGCTATGAAAAAATGTCTCATTCCGCAAAGTCTATGCATTGTATGGGAATCACATTAATTAATTTGATAGAAATTAAGTGTCACCTTTAAAATTAATTATACAGTTTTACTACTATTAAACATAATTTTATTAATTAGGTTTGGTGGGTCGTTGAAATAAGGGGCTCATATGTATGTTTCATAGGATGCTATATGCTTATACATGAAAAGCGGAAATGGCAAAGAATCTCTTTTGCTGGTCCACAATTTCTCCCTCCTTTTCTGAAGTATGTATATACTTTTTCATTATTTTCAAAACTAATTAATACCAAGGTTTTTATGGTGCTAATTAACAAATTAAGCAATGGTATATTAATTGTGTTGTTAATCAATAATGTTGTTTTATTTAAAGAATATTACTTCTGTCAAGGTTCAATGCTTTATATACTATGTACTATTAGCATTTCACAAATTCGACTGATTTCCGAAATTGGTCAAATTAACGAGAAAATGAGCAAAACCTTAGGGAACAATTCAAATAAATTAATTTCATTTCAATATAATATATTAATGTTATGGATGTATAATTTAGTTGTTACCATGCAAGTGTTAATTAACTCTCATTTTCAAACTAACTGAGTTTAAATATTCTCTCAAATTTAAAGAAATGTATAGGAGTATATAGTAGATGTGTTGTAGAGAGAATAAGTTTCACAAACCCCTCTCTTCTTTCATTTGCGTTCTGGGATTTGAATTATTATCAATATATGATGAAGAGAAATAGATATAGAGAAGCTAATTAATCGATATTTATATATATTAGCACAAACATAGTATCATCTATCGATAAACATCTTAGTTCGAAAAAATCTATGATCATTTTCTCTCAATATATATCTCGAAAAAGATAATTTTTATTATTGACGGTGCCTTCTCCTTGTCGTCATAAAAAAAAAAAATCCTCTTATTTACTATGTACTCCCTGTAATCTTTTATACAAAGCTGATCCATTGAGAAAAATTACAGCTTAAAAATAAGTCACAAAGAAAACAGGTGCAAAATAGTAATTCAACTTATCTCAAACTCTATGCAAATAGAAATAGGCTAGTGTATGGTTGTGTTTATAAATCATTTTTTTAATTAAAATTAAATAGAACTTTAAAATTTATTAATTCTGTTTAAAAAATTAATATTGTCTTACCTGATAAAAAATTAATAATATAAACTT